ACTAACACATATATGACCTTCAAATTGAATGATCGTCTTAGTGTTGATATATATGTATGAATAAACGGCCATATTCTATTGATAAAAATGAATTACTGTGTCAATATTGTTTATCATCATGTGAATTACAAAAAATTTGTTAAACGTATTTTTCTTCGTGATACTGTTTTACCCAATTAATGAATAGTCTTTGATGAAGTTGTTTTGATAATTATAGTAAATTTTTATCATGTACTGTAGCAAATGATAAAGGTAATAATATATTTCGGTTATGCATTTGTAGCAATTAATAATTGAAGATGTTGCTGATAGAATTCCACAAAATAAAGCACATAATACTGACCCTACGATATTAGCAGTACAAAAACAGCAGAAGGTCTAACATATACTTGTCGATAATCGTTATCAAGATCGTCAAGATGACGATATGCGACAATTAAGACGAGATATTAGGTGATGAATGCCAACGTTATGAATTAGAATATTTAACAGCTGAATAAGTTTATTACATGCTTTTCTTCTTCTGTATCTTTCAGTATCATAAAGTAAATGATCATCAAACGAATTATTATTTTAATTTATATGCAAATACCGTTTTGAAATTTCGAAAAGAAAAACAAATTTTGTTTCTCTATACTACTGAATGATACCTGTAAACTCATATAGGCGCCATACAATTCATATGGTAATCGATACAACAACTTGATTACGTATCTTTATTCAAATTCATTGAGTGTTGGTATTCTGTTCGAACACTTTAGTAGAGTTTAAAGAAATAAAAGCGCTTATTAAAAGAAAGATACTTATATAAATACTAGTTAAAAGTCTTTCATTTAATTCTTGTTTAAGTACATGATCGTCGAACAATTGAAGAACATTATATTGTTCCTTCATATTTTCATGTTGCCAATTGTTTGTAATCTGAGAACTGAAAAATGCATTGAAATAATTGTTCTTCGTTTGTTTTTCTTGAATTTTATATAAACATGAGTAATAGCGAAAAATGCTCTTTGCAGTTTTCGGAGTAAAATTAATGATAAAAACCAATCGAACCAACTTAAATGTGTATTCACTTCACTATGTATTTTTAAATAAAAAAAAATATTATTTGAAAAGAAATGTTTCCGTCTTTCTTCTGGTAATTTTAATACGGCTCTAGATTGCTCATCAACAACAGATTCATCTCAAGCTCGTTATGATCCATTCGGTATTATAGATCTTCATGGTAGTACATGATTTGAACATTATACATCCTATGCAAGACTTTTATGTTATAATGATTCAGCTAAAACTGAAATTAGTAAAGAAATTTTTCTCGATATTTAATTGTTTTTTTTTTTCTGTGCGTTGGACAATTCTTGACGATGGACCTATAGGGTTACATGAATTTTGGCCCACGGAATTTTCGGGCCGGCCCGAAAGTCCTAGAGGAATTTCGGCCCATCCTTAAAATGGCCTCATTGACCCCTAAAAAAATTTAACTTTTTTCAATAATTGCTAGATATCGTAGTGCTGAGCTGGACGACTTAGTGCTGAGCAGGATGACGGGCGGGTGTGGGTGTTGTTACAGTTTCTCTTTTAGCACACTCACACCCACACCCTGTGCATACGTGTCCCCACCAGGAGATGACCTCCTCAGTAATCGAAAATTGTCGTATTGTGCTGGCCGGAAGATAGGGTTTGTTGTGCGATACGGGAAGCCTAGTAGCTTCTTCGCGAAAACCTAAGTTCAAATGTTTGTTGTCAACAAAAGAAATTCTTTAGAGATATCAAAAGTTTTTCGCTTCGCGAAAATTTAACAACTGTCTCACTGTGGTCAACTTAAAAGTTCTCTAGACTTTTATAAAGAATTTCGTTTTGAAATAGTCATTGAAAGCGTGACCGGTTTCAATGGCAGAAATATTAAATAACTTATTCTGAATTGAATGCAAAGACATTTTTTCCACAAAAAAGTATAAGAAAAATAGTATTTTTTAAAATGCCCAAAAATTATTCTCTTTGCAAAAACTTAATGACTGCAAGAGCAGCGTAGTCAACTGTAGGAATCTGAAGACTTTTTTGAAAACTTCGATTCTTTTTAAAGATCTTCATTTTGTGAGCAAAGGTCATCAGCATGGGCGCCTGCGATATTGAATAATTTGTTGTTCAAATTGTTTTTCCCGAAAAAGGTTGCAAAACGAAGCAGAATTTTTAGGAATCTGCAAAATCCATTTTTACTTCACGACAAATTATGTTGAGTTTCCTACGATTTATGGAGTTGTCTCAAAATTCGACTTTTTGCATCAAACTTGGTCGGATGGAATAAGACTTTTCGTGCATTTTAGACTCGAGAAAAAATGAGCACTAGCTTCGACATGAAAACTGTTTGACCCTGAATCTTGGCAATCTCAAGACAGTTCTGTACTTGTGGTAGTCTGTGATCCTAAAACGAATGAAGAAAACTGGATTTTGGAGCTTCTAGTCATATTTCTTTTTATCCATTTGTTTTGTTGGTTTACTGGAGTTGAAAAATACACTTGCTTGACGCTTCGATAAAAGTTTGACCGTCGAATTTCGGATGGAGGAGGGGAACCCTATGAGCCTCAAATTGATTCAAGACACTTCGCCGCCCTGCACACAAACCACATCCCGGCTTCGGGTTTTTAGGTGCGCAATCAGGCACTGGAATCCCTACTCTTGACCGTATCTTCATGCAAAACGTACAACCAGGAGTGTCGTTATTTACTTCCATTCCTAGAAACACAAAAACAAAATGTGCTTCAAGCTCGAAGCAACATAAACACAAACACATTTTGCAATGCTTTTTATGCACTTTCAAACCTGCTGCTGTATTTAAATGTTCTTGTACGCCATTTTTATGGCAGATTGCTATGAGTTCTGGATTCCCAGGAACAGAACCAGAAACTGACACTCCTAGTTGTGATCATTGTTCCAAACTTTATCGAATTACATGATCATTATTCCATTACACCAAAAAAACATTTTTCTCAAAATTCTCTTAGTCCCCCTCAGAGATATAGGAGGAGTCGAAGATTTTTTTTTTCAAGAGAATTGTCTATGCCATTTGAACCAGGATGAAGTCCTAGATTCTCCAAGATAAAAATTTTCATGAATGATGGACACTGGAAGGTCCTCAAGCTCGTTTTCCCTGAGACTGCTTACCTAGCTACTGACAATGTAAGTCTCATATTATCTCAAAGATAAACTTTTTTTTCTCAATATGCTTTTATGATTTTGTAGAGAATCAAAAGTTACACAATATTAAAAAAATTCAGCTTGACCCCATTTGATTTCAAAAAATGGAAGCAGAGATACTGCCAAAAATTGGAAGTATAGAATGATAAATTGTCACATGTCGGACTGTATAACCCCAGTAAATAGATGGTATACAATATTTTAAATAGCTCACTTTTTTCAGTTTTTGATGCTCTATCTTTTGCTATATTGGATGAAAAAGTTCTCTGACTTGTTGACGTATAATCCTAGTAGACATTTATGGAATGATTTATGACTATTTCTTGATAGTGGTGAAAAGTCGATATAGGTTAACTTTAGTATAGAATATCCAAATGAGCTAAAAATTTCGATTTGGTGGTTTCAGATGATGGCCTTTCAAATGCAGATAAAAAATCAAAATTTAAATTTTAACCGTTGCCTTGGTCCCCTCATGAACCGTCTCTTAAACTGTCCAGCATTTGTTTCATAGGTTCTGATATCGTAACATCACCCTCAACATAAAAAGTAGCGAAATAAAACAAAATGAATGGCAGGGTACCTGCAGCAGTTCCTTTATCCATACTATGTGAATTCTTGATCGTCTCATGAACTCTCTCTCTCTTTTCATGTTTGAGATTATTATTTTCTTTCGATTTTTTTATTATATAATAGATTATATGAGACTGCATTTGTGGTAAAAATTTCATTTTTTAACTGAGAGTTAGTGTTAAGTCATCGGCTGAATAGTGTTTAGGATCTAAGGAAAAATAAGTGTATAACAGAGGTATTTTTATGATAGGCGATACTCGTTAATAAATAAATAATTGAAGATGATTTTACTTTTATTTAGTAGAGCATCTTTGGTTATGTATACAGCAAACATTTGGTAAAAATTTATGCAAATATAGATGAGATACAAATAATAATATAATAGAAGGTCAATATCAACCACAACAAAAAGATCGTTAAAGAGAAAAACAAACTAGTGACAAGGAGGAGGAGAGGGGATGTAGATGCCACTTCTTTTGAGGATTGACAGATATTTCGAAATATCATACTTGTACATTTTCAATTCTGTTATTCAACGAAAATAAATTATTAGAGAAGGGAAAAATAGATGTAAAGAATACAAATATCGGATTTTGATTCAATACTTCCTAAATAACTTCTCCGAAATGAATATGTCAACGACTTCTCTCACATGTTTCATATGAGGCATAATTACCAACAAAATATTGTAAACAAAAAAGACCTTATTCAGCCTGTTCAGTTAATGAACAACCTATATAATTAAAGTTTTCTAAATTCCAAATGACTAATTTGTACACCACATTATATCAATCAAATCTCTCGATTAGCTTGCTCAATAAATTATAAGAACGAGTAAATATGTAGAAATATTTTCAAATATCAATGAAAATTGAAAAGCTTCATACATATAAACAATCCCATGATTATGATTGACATACATACTGATTATGTAAATACACGTAAACGAATAAAAATCTAGTTGTCGATTTCTACCTAATTGAAATGTCTTTACATTATTTTACATGTAGGTAATTGATTAGAATAATGATTTAAGAAAATGATCAAATGTTACAATTATTTTCGAAGATTTTATTTTGAAAACATTCCAGACAATGTATCAAGTTTACCTGAATATTCATCTAACCTTCAAAGTCATACAAAAATCAGAAAGAATCTTTATCACTTCAAAAAAGACTTAAAAAACACATTTTTATTTCAACTTTATTTACACAAAAATCTATATACATATAAAATCATGATAATCTAATTTCTACAGATTCTCCATTTCTGCTAACTGTAATCTTATGTTCATTGATACTATTAAGACCAAATGCTTGACGACGTTTATCAACAATATAATTACGTGAAAAAGGATGATCGAGTAGTGAAACTTGAATATAATAAATTTTAAGATAAGACAAATTTTTTAGATGACTAAGTAATATATCAATAGCACATATACAATCATCTAATGAAAAAACTTGAAGTTCAATATCAGTAAGTGATGGACAACGTTGAACAAGTTTTGATGTGAAATTTGAACAAACATAACAATTTTCTGTTATTGCTTTGAGTATTTTAATTTGTTTGAAAATTGAAAAAAGAGATCGATTATCGATGAATTCTGATAAAACCAAATCTGAAGGATTCATTTCAAGATCAATCACATTTGGACATGCTCTAAAACAGAAAAATAAAATATACTTAATATATTTATATTTATTGTCCAAATGATTATTATTCTACAGAATTCAGTATCATCTATCTGACATAGAATGAAATTATTCATTGAGAAAAACATATTAGAATTATCACAACTCATAGATTTAGAAATATAAAAATGACTTTCAATCAATGTCAAGTATACTTACTGTAGAATAAATTGAATATCTTTCCATTCACCTGCATCAATACCTGGCTCAAACTTAATTTGATTCACATTTGGTAAATGAACAATATGTGAAAGATAAGTACCATACTGCTGTGAAACGTCATTGTCATTTGATTGAACACACTTCCCTAAAAAAGAAAAACATAATGAATAAAAACGACAGGAAGAATTATCAAATCAAATTTGTCTATATATGATAAAAATCGAAAATATTCAGTTGAAATAAATTGAAAGTGACAAATTCATTTTCATCAACTGAACTATATAATTAAAAGAAATATGTATTCTTCTTACCAATATTCAATGAACTGTTCCACCATGTTAAATATGCTATTGGGTAATAATATATGACGAGATATTTTATATGTTGAAATAAAGGAACACAAGAACCAATTCTTGGTGTTATCTTTTCCACATCCAATTTTAAATATTTTGTGTCTGAATAATAAAGATAATGATCATTTGTTGTTGCTTTTGTTGATCGTGTCTCAAATGATTCATTACTAATCATTGGAATGGTTATATGTATGTTTCTTTTGTATTTCTGATAACCAAATGTGCGTAACATAACAATCTCTTCTATAAGAAAAAAAAAACTGTATGTTAAAAACATTTAGTTTCAGAATAAACAGATTCTCATACGCGAATTGACTCTTCATTGTCAAATAATTGGCTGTCTATGCATTGCTTTTCATATTTTATGAATATTCCTTTCCTCGTCCTACCAAAGTCGATTTTTGTGAAAGAAAACTATTTTAAGATAGATTAGTTGTAAAGCCTGAGACAAGGCAATTTCGCTGTCAATCTGATAGTTGGCTGATCCATTAATTTTATGATACATTTTTCATATTTTTTTCCCTTTGTCGTAAAGAAAAGCAATCCTTTTCTCCAACGTACTCAATTATATGGAGATTACAAATAAAAATATGTTTTTTGCCAATTTGTCTATCCCGCAATCTAGAATTGCCGAGGGAGCTTGATTTTAACCAATTAACATTTTATTTTGTTTGAAAGGGTATGTTTAACTGCAAAACCCACTTCTTGGATTTAACTAGTATTTTTCTCATACTTGAAAGCACGTTCATAAAGACTCCCATTTTTACTGACTTTTTTCCGACTAGATGAGCTTCTGAGCTCTTTCTATCGTATAAGATGTAACAATAAAAAAATCAATCTATCAACGCCTCCAGACAAGTAATTTCTGTCGAACAAGAAAGCAAATTATTGTTTAAGATAATCACTGTCAGAGAAATGTAGTGAACCCGAAAAAAAGCTATTTTTATCTTTTTTTTTGGTAAGTATCTCATCAATGCGCAATCCTACTGAGCTGGCAATCGTACTTTAGCCTCTCCACTAGAGTGTCAATCTGTAGTTGTCTTCATCTTCTGTGTACTTTTTTTTATTTCTGTACATTGTCTGTAATAAGTGAAAAACAGCATACACACTAAACTTAATCTTCTAATTGCATTTCCATTTCACGTCGAATTTTCTGAGATAGGGAGTCTCAAAAAGTTTTTTTAGATTCAAATTTTATCAAAAGTAATAATTTCTTGGTGATAGTATATCTATTTATGCAATAGTAAAATTCAAAAAGATTCTGACGATCACGTCTGAAACAGCAAAGGGTCGGAGTTAGTCGTAACATACAGAAACACTCAAATAAATCTCATTAAAATAAAATATAATCAATGGCAACGATAGATACTATTTATCATTTCCTCAAACTCTCTGTAAACGTTAATTAGTTTATATTCTTTATTTCGCATTTAAAGTAATTTTGCTTACGTATACTTGTGTAATCAGGTGTCCATCGATCAATAATCATTTGCCATCCGGGATATTTTTTAACGAAATATTGAAATGAATTTACCACCATGTCTAAATTTAATTTTGGATATTTATTCTCAATTAAGATATGAAAATCAAATTTAGATAATAATGGAACATGTATTTCGAACATATGTTGCCATGTATAACCATTGACCAAATCATTAACAAATGGCAAGGCAACTGCTCGTATTCCATGAAGAAACTTAAAATGAATAAGATTAGGCATACAACGTAAGATATAAGCAATTGAACGAATGTCACATATGGCAAAAATTGATAAATCGAAAGATATCAGTTGTGGTGATATAGGAAGTGAATTTTTATTAAAAAATGGTTCTTTAATTGAAACACTAAAAGAAAAAAGGAAAGATTATATTTTCAATCTTGTTCAATAAAGAATATTCGTCGGATATTTTCATTGCAACTTACTGTAAATTATTGTTTTGTGATAGAATTTCATGTTTTATTATGGCATGTAGATATCGTATTCTATGACAAACACGAAGAATTGGGAAAATTGAATAAACTGATACTGTATTCGGTGAGCCAGATATTAACAATTCCAGTGATATAATATTCGAAGCATTTGAAGTATAAGTTNCTTTTTTGCCATTTTCGGAAGATCCATATATATCAAATGATAGGACATAATGAAATTATTATTTATAGATAGAAACTTTTTCACTCAAAAAGTATTTATAGAAAAGCTCATATATTTTTCTGTTCATAGGAATTGACAAATTGGTTTTTTTAGGCATAGATTGACCGATGTGATCATGACGCACAACAGTTCAGAGGAAAATCAATTGATTTAACTATAGAGATTGGTGACACAACTTCCGAGAAAGTTACACGGTTAGTTGCCTTTACCCTCAGAATCAGTATCGAACAATTTAAAACATCATAAAAACCATAAATTACAGAAGCCAGGCAAAATGCTAAGGTTTTGGATAAGAAGCAAGCTATTGTAAGTATTATTAGATATACACGATTAAAGACGAGACAAAACTCTATTGAAGTAACTTTAAACAAAATCTGATATAGGTTGGTTTGAAGACATGCTGACTCCTCATATTTGGTCACATCAACTACAATTGCAATAATATCTCTTAAGTGATGTATGGCTTCTCAGAACATAAAAATTTAATGAAAAAGCAATTTCGTATATACCATTTGATGCGCCACGAGTTGTTCTACAAAATGGTATCGGCGACTTTTCAAATGAAGGGTGATTATCTCATCCGACAGGGTCCTCGGTTTTTTCTCTTTAGAATATTTTTTTTTTCAATATATACAATATTGTTTTCTAGATTGTTGATCAAACTGATCGATTTCAATCAATTGATGAAATAATTGAAAAATTTGATATGCTTTATGCTAGTTATCAAGTAGAACAGGGAGATTTCTTGTATCTATTATGGTGAAAACAGTGTAGTACACGGACCGACCGCTAAGTTCGTACGTCCTTGCTGTCGTTATTGTACGTCATATCTACGATCATTTTCCTACCGATCTGGCGTGGTTCGTTCTGCATGTACCAATCTCATGCTTACAATGAGATGGGATGTCTTCCTGACCGTGCACATATACGCGAGAATGAGTCGAGAAAAGCAGGAAAAGGAAGTGAGTGGCAATCGAAACCAATTTATTAAAGAGGCAAGACAAATATTTACAGCTTCTTTTGAATTTTTTCAAATGTTTCTTTATAGTCCAAAAGATGAGGATGATTTGAAGGCAATTTTTCTTGAGCAATTTCTACTGCTTGTTCAACATTTTTCATTGCCATACTATATTGTCGAGTAGCCAAATATACTTTCGCTAAATTATGATAGATTATGGCTAGATCAGGATGATTTTTTGGTAGATTATTTTGACGTATTTCTAATCCTTTTTGGAAATATGTCAATGCTGTTGGATAATCTTTCATTTCTCGATACGTTTCACCTAAATTTATATATGTCGTTGCACATTCCAGAGGATTACATTGAACATTTTCTTGAATATCTAATGCTTTTCGATGAAATGAAAGTGACATTTCATAATCACCCAATAATTGATGAACATCACCAATATTACTGTATGTAATAGCCTGATGAGGATGTCTTTCAGGTAACGTTTGTTGAAATATTGCGAGACACTTTTCAAAATTCTCAAGTGCCTTTGAGTAATCTTTCATACTACGATGAACTCTTCCTAACCAACTGTATGTTAAAGCAAAATTTGGATTACCTTCTTGAAATGTTTTTTGCTGAATTTGAAAAGCATTTTTCAGAGCGTTAAGAGCTTCTGCGTAATCACCCATTCTTTCATAACACACTGCAAAATTCAAGTGACTACCAGCCAATGAGGGATGATTCGGAGGCAAAGCTTTGTCTCTTATTTTCAGTGCTTTTTCGTAAAATTCAAGTGCTTTCCGGTAATCACCCATGTTGTTATACACCAAACCGATGTGGTTGTAAGAAGTAGCCAAATCTGGATGAGTGTGAGGCAAAACTTTTTTCTTGATTTTATGTGCTTTTTCGTAAAACTCAAGTGCTTTCAAGTAGTCACCCATAATATTGTTATACACCAGACCCATGTTGTTGTAGGAATCAGCTAAATCAAGATGATTCGGAGGCAGAACTTTTTCTCTTATTTTTATTGCTTTTTTGTGCAGTTCAAGTACTTTCGAGTAGTCGCCCATGCTGTTATACACGTGACCGATGTTAGTATAGGAATCGGCCAGATCGGGATGATTCGAAGGCAGAGCTTTTTCTCTTATTTTTAGTGCTTTTTCATAAAATTCAAGTGCTTTCAAGTAGTTACCCATGCTGTTATACAGCAGACCGATGCTGTTATAGGAAGAAGCTAATGAAGGGTGATCTTCGGGAAGAATTTTACGGTCAATTTTGATGGACTTTTCAAGAAATGAAACTGCTTCTTTGTATTGCCCTTGTTCCTGGTTTGCCTCTCCCAGCTGCTGATAGATATATACTTTATGACTATCGTCGGATGTCTGTTCTAATAGTGTGATATAAAATTCTTCGGCCTTATGGAATAGTCCTAGTTTGAACAGCAATTTGCCAAGTCGATACCATCCAGTGGCGTCGATCTCTTCTTGGATACGTTCCGTTAATTGACGGAGTTGTTGATCATCATATGATGTAAGTCTAAGGTCAACCTCGTAAAGTAGACGATTTTTGTCAAGTGTCCGAATGTCACCAATTCGAAATACTGTGTTCATGGAGAAGAGGATTTCATCTTCTTCCTTGTAATAACTCTCTTCTCGAACGAAGGCGAATGGAGTTGACGAGACTGTAGGATCTATGGACATTTGAAAGAGAATACCAATCATATCGGTTGTTCGTAAGGCATCTTTGGCGAAGGCAAGAGATACATCACGATTTTTAGTGGTGGATAAAAACGTATGGAATGATATAAGCCCACCTTTGTTTTTGACCAGTTTTTCGAAGTCTAATGTCGATAATCCTTGACCCCGATACACTAGAAAGAGCTTTCCATAATATTGGTTGAGCTGTTTCTCGTGTAAGCTTTCAATTTGTCGGTGTACATCACAAGCAAAGAAACCCATTCTGATGCTGATATCGCCGTCGAGTGTTCGTAATGCATGATTGAGCATTTTGTACGCGAAACATTGGCGTGTGTACCACCAAATAGCCTTTGATGAATGATAAGTGCGTCGAAATTCATCAATAAGTTTGATTTCTTGAATATTGCCTATGTATTCTTCTTGGCAGAACTTGATCAAGTCTCTGATGGTTTGTTGACTATGTTCCATATCGATGAGAATTTCCTTGAATATTTGAGTGTACATGAAAGATGCTTCTAACTGATTGAAATTTTCACTAGAACTTCCTTCATTCACACCAATAATACTGACCGTTGTAGTATGTTGATCGCATTGTTTGACAGCTATTTGCAGCGCTTGGCATATGGACTTAATTGATGTGTGGACACCTTTAATTTTTGCCCAGTTTTTGGCCCATATTTCATGCCGTTGTTTATTGCGACAAAGTATGTATATAGCATTCAGTTTCGGCATGTCATGAATGTCTGGCACAAGATGTTGCCCAAGTGCACCAGAGGAGATGACGAATGATGTCTCTTCATTATTTTTCTGGAGTTTCTCAACACATTGTTCGGCTGTTGTGCAAGGATTGACTTCATTAACGATTGCACGTAATTGCGCGAGTGCATGTTGATAGTCTTCATTGCCTATGTCAATATTTTCATCGACCCAGATGATCAAGTAATTTTCAACTATGCGTCGTCTTCGTTGTCGACTCATTTTCGATGCAACCTTTGCTGTTCGATTGATAGTTATGTATTGTGAAAAATAGTTTGCTGTCTGGAAAGATATAGTCTTTTCTATTTATATACTTGATGCGCGATTTTTTATTTTTCTACGACATCAAATGTGTAATTTTTTTTCGTTTACACTCAAGGACAAACACTACCTAGTTGTAATTAATAATATGGATGTCAGCAATAAAGGAAAGAGAAAAAGAAGCAATATCACAATTTATTTTATGATTACTTTTTCAACTTTCATTTACGTTTCATATGTACTGTGACGTAAACTTCATTGCATTAGATACCTTGTCTCATACGTTGTATATTTTTCTTTGATTCTTTCAGAGCAACTTTTTTCTTTCTTTCTTGCTTTCTGACAAGGACGAAAAAGACAACAAGGACATCGTCAGTTTGATTTTTTTTTCTCACTAGACATCAATTACTAGTAGTCATATGATACTAACTAGATAAAGTTTTACTAATACCCACAAGAGAAAAATCCTATCGGTTGAATATATATAGGAATTATACTTGAAAAACAAACGACATTAATTGAGCAGTGGACTTACAAACGAAAGTGGCATTTGAGAATTATGCAACATTTACCTTTCTATCTACTGTAGCAGTTGAGACACGAAACAGAATTATTTAAGATGGTCAGTTTTTTTTCCGAGACTAAGTTAAATGATCGTTTCGATTCAATTGATCTGTTTTCATAGAGAGTTCATCAAATCATTGATCAATATGCATAAGTTAAAATTTTGACTTTATCAAGTGATATGAAGTATCTCAGAACTCATCCACAAGTATCTACCATTTAATAAACTATAGGAAATTGTTTTAACATTTATGAATCATATATGGTACTCATGAAGTTTACTTCTTTTTACTTTCGATTAACGTATCTTGATTTAATCAATTACGAACATCATGAGAGCAAGATTGTAAAATATAAACTGTATCTATTGGCTCTCTATTGTGCGATCTATGACTCAAAAATGCACATAAAAATGCTTATTTTTCATGAGAATTTATCTATGTTCTCTCTAAAAGGATATCAAGATGATTATCAACCATAAATCTAATAGCAGTAGGCGCAAAAGCTCAGAAAAAACTACAACTTTCAATATATAAATTGTTAAGATAGCGTTTGGTAGAGTGATTTAATTGTATGAGTGCAAATCAGCTCACTACTATACTTTTTGTTTATTTTTTCGCTTCTTCTACGAATGTGGTAAACTCGGGATCAAATCAATCAGTTCTTAGATAGTTGAAATTCATAAATGGTTCGATATAGAATTCCACGCTGATGAGAAAACATATCCAACTGTCGGACAATGTTCGATACGATCTTTTGGCTGTGAGTAGGACTCAATGAGACTCAGGAAATCCTACAAAATTTTGTCCCCATGATGTGTCTGGAGAGGGATTTGATTACCGCATATGTGTAAGAAAATGAAATGCTGAGTGTAGGTGTCGGTAAAAGGAAGAGAGATCCACAACCTCGTAGTATCAAATAAAAATTCTATGTTCAAAATTCCAGTCCTCACTTTCTCGGAGTAAAGAAAAACAATTTAGAAAAAAGTTTGAAAATTTCCATTTTCTGCTATCTACTTGGCAATGAGATCCCAGGATCGAAGGACGTCCAGTAGTTGGATATGTTCCCTCGTCATATGTTAGCACGAGTACTACTGATCGGTATTCAAAACCCGCGAGTACTCATTTAGTGAGTAATTCACTAGGACAGGAACCATTCTCGACTCGATTCCGATACAACAATGTCAAATCCACAAGGTGTGGAGAGGGAAGCAGGAAAACATCATTATTCTGCTTTGTGTTTTCATGAACTTCGATACAAAATCTATTGATTTTCAATTAGCGCAAAATCTTGGTTTGTTTTTTAATACCTGATTTGTAGGGTATATAATGAAACGTGCATTAAACTAATCGCTCTACTATGTGCAATATACAAATATCTAATTTTCTCTAAATTAGACACCGACCAATTCGAAAGTTTTATGATCTCATAAACGATAAATCCAGTTTGAAGATGTACTTCATACCTAGTTGGCACCATGGGCTTAGCACGTGTATTATCTTGTTCTTTCCAGAGTTCCATAGTCAAAGTGCATATTTTGTGACGCGATGATCACGAGAACGACACATCGTCTGTTACTTATTGAAATGTGATTAGAGATGTTGAGATCTTTATATGATACAAAATCTATCCTATCTTCATTATGATATGGCCTTTGTCCAAAGCTAAATTCAGGTATTAAAGATAATTTATGGATGTAGTTTTCATATGGCGATATAACGAAACGAGACTAAGCGATGATATTAGCAATGATTATTTATCGCTATCTCTAATGATAATCCATCGATGAACAATTGCTGTAGGCTGATATTTCTCGTAGTGGGTAATTTTATGATGACTGCTTTTCACATTAATCCTGGCTTTGATCAGCTGATAGATATACTCGTTATTTTATCGATTTACAACGAGAACAAAAATTGACTGAATCAAGTAAAACCTAGACATCCTTCGGAAAAACGTGATTCACGATAAATCTTCAGGACGATTTTTCAAATTCGTCTGTTTCATTCTATTAATTTTTTTTTCTATAGGTTTCATGGATTGTACTATATTCTATGTTTTATATATCAAAATGTACTATATCTTTAATATAATTATTCTTTCTTTCTAAAAACGTTTTTTTTAAAACAGAAATCAATAAAGTTCAATAGATACGTACCTTCACAAGATCAATTGATCTAGGTTAAACTAAAGAAACAGATGATATAAAGAGGTATATTTTGACCTAAATATACTAATTAAAACTTCAATTTTGTGAGAAATTAATTAATTAAGGGAAGTCTTCTATTATGTCTGATGTATCATGAATCCATACGTGTCTTCTAATATGTCGTGAGGGGTTTCAGCATTAAACAGGACAAAAAGTTCAGTGTACTTGCATTTTTAAGATTCTTCGTTAATGACATATCTTTGATGAAAGAATTTCAAAATCGATATATTTAGTTGTTTTGAATTCTCGATAGTCAAGTGCTGCAAAATCAACACAAGCAAGTTTTACTTCCTGCTTAATTCGCTCTGGAATAGCTGGTTCGTTTTTT